TAGAGTTCCAAAAACATGGAAAGAGAAGATCACTTTATCATTCTTTGGATAAACACTAAAGGGTCTGTTGTCTTTTTAGCACACTAGAGTACTCAATATTCAAAATAACCAAGAAAGTACTGTAGAAAAAGGGCCCATACACAGAATGCCGTCAGGATGGGGGTATAAATCCTTCTCTGACTTCCTTAAACATAAGAAATATAAAGGCCTCATATGAATGAGAAAAGTTTGAAAACTGGAATTTTTTTTTTTTTTGAGAGAGAGAGAGAAAGGGGGAGAGGGAAAGAGACAGAGGGAGAGAGAGAATCTCAAGCAGGCTCCACGCTGGGCGGGGCTCGATCTCACGATCCTGAGATCATGACCTGAACCGAAATCAGGAGTTGGAAGCTTAACTGACTGAGCCACCTAGGCCTCCCTAAAAACTGGAATCTTTATGTCTTAGTTTGGGCTTCCATAACAAAATGCCATAGACTTGGTTTAAACAACAGGAATTTATTTCTCACAGTTCTGGAAGTCCAACATCAAGGTACTGACAAGATAGGTTTTGCTCTGAGGCCATTTCTCTGGGTCTGCAGATGGTCACCTTCTCGCCCTGCATTCACAGGACTTCTTTGTGTTACAGTGGGGTGGGGGAAGGGAGAGCAAGCTCTTTGGTGTCTCCTCTAATAAGGCACTAATCCCCTCAGGCCAGGCCCCTACCCTTATGACTTCACTGAACCCTAATTACCCCCCAAAGGCCCCATCTCCAAATACCATTACAGTGGAGGTTAGGGCTTCAGTATATATAAATTTTGAGGGGACACAAACATTCGGTCCGTAACACTTTACAAACATATATGACTGGCTTTTAAAAACATTTGTAGTTTGTATTTATTTATTTATTTATTTATTTTTTAAAAAGATTTTATTTTTAAGTAATCTCTACACCCAACGTGGTGCTCAAACTCACAACCTCGAGATCAAAGTCACATGCTCCACCAAATGAGCTAGCCAGGTGCCCCATCATTTGCAGTTTTTTTTTTTAAGATTTTATTTATTTATTTGACAGAGAGAGAAACAGCGAGAGCAGGAACACAAGCAGGGGCAGTGGGAGAGGGAGAAGCAGGCTTCCCGCTGAGCAGGGAGCCCAATGTGGGGCTCGATCCCAGGACCCTGGGATCATGACCTGAGCCGAAGGCAGATGCTTAACGACTGAGCCACCCAGGTGCCCCTCATTTGCAGTTTTTAATAAAACATTTTTAATTGTGGAAAAAACACATAACCTGAAATTTATTATCTAATCATTTTAAGTGGACAGCTAATAGTATTAAGTGCATCCATATTGTTATGCAGTCATAACTGGCTTCTAAAACCAGTGCTGGTGAAGCTATTTATTTTCCCGTGGGTACTAGGTGTGTAAATCAGATGGAGTGTCATAAGGGTGGGCAGAGCCTTAGTTATGTCTTCATTGTTTGCTCAGCTAAGCTTCCTATTAGTTTAGTGTAGTAGTTAGAATTCTCCAGAGAAACAGAACCAGTAAGAGATATCTATCTATCTATCTATCTATCTATCTATCTATCTATCTATCTATCTATCTATCTATCGAGAGAGATTGGCTCACATGATTATGGAGGCTGAGATGTCCCATGATCTGCCATCTGCACACTGGACACCCAGGAAAGCCATTGGCATAGGTCAGTCCAAGACTGAAGGCTTGAGAACCAGCAGAGCTAATGGTTTAATTCCTAGTCTGAGGATAGAAGACCCATATCTCAGCTCATGCAGTCAGGCAGAGAACGGGCAAACTCCTTTCCTATGCCTTTTGCTCTATCCAGACCTTCAACAGATTGAATGATTGGGGAGAGCAATCTACTTTACTCAGTCTACCAATTCAAATGCTAATCTCATCTGGAAATACTCTCACAGACACACTCAGAAACAATGTTGAACCAGATAGATGGGCACCGCATGACCCCATCGGGTTGACATATAAAATTAACCATCACATTTGGTTATTAGAGATACAGCAAGTAAGACATTTGTCCACTGGTGGTTGATAACTGGCATTGTATCTGATTGGTCAGGGTCCATGCTGTACAAGTTGTTAAATATTTTGAGTATCACTACTGATTATACATATTCTATATTAAATAAAATGGTCTTTTCACTAAAGCAGAAAAGTAAATCAAAGTTTATAGAAGTAGAAAGGTTTAAAAATAATTAACTAGAACTGATAAATGAATTCAGTAAGGTTACAGGATATAAAATCAATATACAGAAATTCATTGCATTTCTATACACTAATAATGAAGCAGCAGAGAGAAAAATTAAGAAAATAATCCCGTTTACAATTGTATCAAAATCAATGAAATACCTAGGAATAAATTTAACCAAGCAGGTGGAAGACCTGTACTCTGAAAACTATAAAATCCTGAGGAAAGAAATTGAAGATGACACAAACAAATGGAAAGATATTCCATGCTCGTGGATTGGAGGAAGAAATATTGTTTAAGTGTCCATACTACTCAAATCAATCTAAAGATTTAATGCAATCCCTATCAAAATACCAATAGCATTTTTCACAGAACTAGAACAAATTATCCTAAACTTTGCGTGAAACCACAAAAGACCTCAAACAGCCAAAGCAATCTTGAAAAAGAACAAAATGGGAGGTATCATAATCCCAGATTTCAAGATATACTACAAAGCTGTAGTAATCAAAACAGGTATGCTACCAGCGTAAAAATAGACACATAGATCAATAGAACAGAATAGAGAGCCCAGAAATAAACCCCCTATTATATGGTCAATTAATCTTCCACAAAGGAGGCAAGAATATGCAATGGGAAAAAGACAGTCTCTTCAACAAATGGTGTTGGGAAAATTGGACAGCTACATGCCGAAGAATGAAACTGGACCACTTTCATACACCATACACAAAAATGAAATCGAAATGGATTAAAGACTTAAATGTGAGACCTGAAACCATAAAAATCTTAAAAGAGAGCACAGGCAGTAATTTCTCAGATTTCGGCCATAGCAACATTTTTCTAGATATATCTCCTGAGGCAAGGGAAACAGAAGCAAAAATAAACATTAGGACTATATCAAAATAAAAAGCTCCTGCACTGCAAAGGAAACAACAAAACCTAAAGACGACCTACTGAATGGGAGAAGATATTTGCAAATGACACATCCGATAAAGGGTTGGTATCCAAAATGTATAAAGAACTTATACAACTCAACATCAAACCCGCAAATAACCCATTTACAAATGCACAGAAAACGTGAACAGACATTTCTGCAATGAAGACATCCAGATGGACAACAGACACATGAAACGATGCTCAAAATCCCTCCCCACCAGGGAAATGCAGATCAAAGCCACAATGAGGTGGTAGCGGCTGTGGTGGCCACGGGTCAGTAGCTGACATGCAGCTCCTTGTCCACGCCCAGGAGCTACACACCCTCAAGGTGACCAGCCAGGAGATGGTCGCCCAGATAAAGGCTCATGTAGCTTCACTGGAGGTCATCACTCCAGAAGATCAAGTTGTGCTCTTGGCAGGCACACCCCTAGAGGATGAGGCTATCCTGGGTCAGTGTAGAGTGTAGGCTCTGATTGCCCTGGAAGTAGCTGGCCCCACGCTTGGAGGTGAAGTCCATGGTTCCCTGGCCCACGCTGGGAAAGTAAGAGGGCAGACTCCCAAGGTGGCCAAACAGGAGAAACAGAAGAAGATAGGCTGAGCCAAGCGGTGGATGAGTACAACCAGCACTTTGTCAATGTTGTGCCCACCTTTGGCAAGAAGAAGGGCCTCAGTGCCAACTCTGAAATCCACTGTAATCCTGGCTTTCCCTAATAAAGCCACTCAGTCCAGCCAAAAAATAACAACAACACAATGAGATATCACCTCCCAGTTGTCATAATGGCTAAAATAAAAAACACAAGAAACAACAAGTGTTGGTGAGGATGTGGAGAAAAAAGAACCCTTGTGCACTGGTGGTGGGAATGCAAACCATTGCAGCCACTGTGGGAAACAGTATGCAGGTTCCTCAAAAAAATTAAGAATAGAATTACCATGTGATCCAGTAATTCCACTACTGGATATTTACCCAACAAATATGAAAACACTAATTCACAAATACACATATATATATATACCCTAAGTTTATAGCAGCATTATTTACAATAGTCAAGATATGGAAGCAGCCCAAGTTTCCACTGATAGGTGAATAGATAAAGACAACGAGGTATATATATGCAATGGACTCAGCCATAAGAAAGAATGAAATCTACCATTTGCAACAACATGGATGGATTTAGAGAGTATAATTGTAAGTGAAATAGTCAGAGAAAGACAAATACCATATGATTTCCCTTGTAGGTGGAATTTACGAAACAATGAATGAACAGAGGGAGAAAAAAGAGACAAACCAAAAACAGACTCTTAAGTACAGAGAACAAACTGGTGGTTACCAGAGGGGAGGTGGGTGGGGGGATGGGTGAAACAGGTGAAGGGGATTAAGAGTACACCTACCATAATGAGCACCAGGACATGTATAGAATTGTTGAATCACTATATTGTATACCTGAAACTAATATAACACTGTATGTCAACTATACTGGATTTAAAGGTTTTTTTAAATAATAAAATAAATAAAAACAATTAGCTATGGTTCTCATTAACCCTTCAATATTATTTTCTGATTTTGATGTAAGTCCAACTTAAAAAGAACTAACTAACCTTCAGTATTGAATGTTAGAGTTAGAGCCCCCTGTAATTTGAGCAAAACTTAAATATTTTTCCCACGGAGAGGAAATTCACATGAAATTAACCATTTGAGAGTGAACAATTAAGTGGTTTACAATACTGTATACCCATTGGCACTATCTAGTTCCAAAACTTTTTCATCAGCCCAAATGGAAACCCCATCCCCATTAAACAGTCACTCCCAAATTCCCATCCCCCAACCCCTGGCAACTACTAATCTGGTTTCTGTTTGTTTGGATTTGCCTATTCTAGACATTTCATGGAAGCGGAATCCTACAACATGTGACCTTTTGTGTCTGGCTTTTTCACTGAACAATGTTATCAAGTTCATCCGTGTTGTAGCAGGTAACTATCTGTATTTTATTCCTTTTGTGTGGCTGAATCATATTTCACGGCATGTGTACACCATACTTTGTTTATTCATTCATCTATTGATGAATATTTGGGCTGTTTCTACCTTTCTTGCTGTTGAGTTAGACTTCTAACAGTTCAGTGAAACGGCAAAACGCCTGTCTATCTCCCTCCCTTCCACATGATGAGCTTAGCTACCCTAGAAAAAGGACTGTGACTGCTTTAAGTATTTTGGCTCTGTTTCCCAGAACTGTCTTTTTTTATCTGCAAGCCAAGGACAAATCTGTCTCACCACCCCAAGCCTCCACAACAGAAAAATTAATCCATCTCCACAGCATAAACTGCTCCTTCCCTTCCTCTGCCTCCCTGCTGACCAGCCCTTCCCCGAATAGGGAGTCTTTCAACCACTGCTTTTGCTTTCCTGAAATTTTCCATCTGTTATTTGTTGTCCATGCATTTGGTCCTGTGCAAGTGATCTGACACATGCAAGAGTATTTTTTTTTTTTCTGATCTAGACTCTCCCTTAAAAATAGTTTGATATTATATAACTCAGCTACTCCTTAGCATCACTTTAACAACACATTTAAACAGAATTCATATGAACCATGTTTCAGCTTTCCCCTCCTCCTGCCCCCCATTCCCACTCCATTGTGGTTGACCAGCCTTATGTCTGGCTTTTGGACATATACTCAAAGAGTATACTTTAGTTAAGTAAACAAATTCCTACAGATGTTATTTTTCTGACGTAACAGGATGCCTCAGTCTAGGTAAGCTGCTCATTTCTTCTTTAGAAGCGCCATGAAGATTGAATATATGGTGAGAAATACAGGTCAGTAGGATCAGATTGCCCCGGGGTGCCCCTCAGATCACATTGTGTCAGCAGCTGGCTTCTCTGGATAGCAGAAGGCCTAGTCAGGTAGCCAGTGTAAGAGCCATATCCTTCACACTTCTACTCGAGGTGACCTTATTTCTGGATGTTCCTCAGCCCTGTATTGCGCTAAAAAAATAATGGTCATTAGGATTCTAAAACCAGAGGGGACAGTGTGTATATCTCCTTAGACAGGGCTAGTTTACCCAATAGACGGTCTAAGCACATGCTGCAAACCTGGGGCACCAACTTTTTGGGGGGGTGGGAGAATTTGGTCATTATTTTATATAAGACATCAAGATAGTCATTGTGGGAAAAATAGAGTATGTCTTAGAGTGCTGAATACTTAGTTGATGGTACATTGTTATTGTATTTTTAAAGTTATCATACAGTAAAACTGACACTTTGGTATACTACATGTTTTAGCAATGAAATTTCTGATCAGATCTTTAGACTCGCTTACTTATTTTCTTTTCCTCTTTGATGTGAGGTTGTACTTGAGGGAATGAATGGAGTTATAGTTTACTGTATGTAGTTTACTATGATAGATAACATGGGAAAAAACCTATAATACAAGGGAGGGAGCAGTAGGAGCAAATGTATTAAGGCAGAAAAACACAGGGAATGGTCAGTAAAGGGGAGTAGTCCAATTTTTTAAAAAATATTTTATTTATTTATTTGACAGAGAGAGAGCACAAGCAGGGGGAGCAGCAGAGGGAGAGGGAGAAGCAGGCTCCTCGCTGAGCAGGAAGCCCGATGCGGGGCTGGATCCCAGGACCCTGGCAGACGCTCAACGACTGAACCACCCAGGCGCCCCTGTGTAACTGTTTTTGATATTTTAAGGCTCGCACAGTTTAGAAGCAAAATTTCTACAAAAGCTGATTGCATTTGAATATCTGTTTTAATTCATTTATTCAGTCAACAAATAATAGCTGAGTACCCACTATGTGCCAGGCCCTATTTCTAAGTCTCATGAACAAAACCAAGTCTCTGCCCTCGTGGAACTTGCAGTCTGGTGAGGCATAGATAATAAATTAGTCAACAAATAGGTACCCTATCATCACGTGGTGATAATTATTAGAAGGAAAATTAAAGCAGGATGAGGGGATAGAGTGAATTTTATGTCAGCTCAGGGGCAGCCTCTCTTAGGGGGTGATGTGTGGCAAGAGACGTCAATGTAGTGAAAAGGTAAACTATGCGAAGGTTCAGGGCAAGAACATTCCAGGCCACGGGAGCAGCAAATCTGAAGGTTCTGAGGCAAGAATATGTTTGGCATGTTCTGACAATGACAAGGAGAAGAGGGCGCCCGGAGCAGGGTGTTCAAAGCAGTGAGACATGAGGTCTGAGAAGTGGCCAGAATGACAAACATGGAGGGCCATGTTGGCCCATGATTCGGATTTTGGATTTGATTCTAAAAGTGACTGGAACCCATTGAAAAAGGTTCACATGATGTGATTCACAGTCTAAAAAGCCCTCTGCATGGGCGCCTGGGTGGCTCAGTTGGTTAAGCGACTGCCTTCGGCTCAGGTCATGATCCTGGAGTCCCGGGATCGAGTCCCGCATCGGGCTCCCTGCTCGGCGGGGAGTCTGCTTCTCCCTCTGACCCTCCCCCCTCTCATGTGCGCTCTCTCTCATTCTCTCTGTCTCAAATAAATAAATAAAATCTTTAAAAAAAATAATAAATAAATTAATTAATTAAATAAATAAATAAATAAATAAATAAATAAATAAAAAGCCCTCTGCTTGCTCCTGTTTGTGTATAGGTTAAAATTGCTCCCCCCCCCCCCCAATTCCTGATGACCAGTTGACGTGGCCTCCTGAAAAATCCAAAGTCTTATTTTGGACAAGGTGAAATTGGCCTTAAGTGCAGACCCCAGGAGAACTCAGTAGGATTCCAGTTCTCTGCCTTTAGTGTTGTAGTCTTCATGTCTTCCTTCCTGGTAGACATGGTCCAAGGCCCCTCCTCCAAGGCTGGCTGGAAGGACCCTACTCAGCTTTAAGGACACACACCCATTGTGCAACTCTGGTGGTTCTTGTCCCTAAGCCTGTGGGGAGGATGGCTTTGTCCCTACATCACTGTTAACCTGGTGGCATTTCATTACTTGGGCTCTCCAAAAGAATTACTGACCCAGTCAATGGTGGGGCTCCTGATGCTCTGAGACTTGTCCTATTGCCTTGCTCTGACACCCGTGCTGTCAAAACATATTTGCAAAAGCTCCCCCAGTGATTATGGCAAAAGCCCCTTTTTCCTTTTCTCCAAAAGGATAAGCACGTACCTGGATGTGTGTATAACATAATTTAGAACCTAGAGTGCTCAAATTACCACATTGTTCCAGGAATAGCTTTCATTCTGGTTTTTTTTTTTCCCTGTCTCAGAGAAAAACCGAGAAGTGAAGTTTTTTACCAACCAAATGGTAGAACCAGATTTAGAATTGAGAAAGAGCTATTTGTGAAAAGTATGAATCTATGTCATTATATGTGGCTTTGTTGCTAAAGATATACTAATTTGCCATTTAAAATTTCCCCTTCCTCAGTGCCTAGACTCTCAACTTTGCTGACATTTATTCAGATCCTATTTTTACTTATTGTTTTTTAATTAAACTCTACACCCAGTGTGGGGCTTGAACTCACAACCCCAAGATCAAGAGCTGCATGCTCTACCGACTGAGCCAGCCAGGTGCCCCTTGAGTCCTATTTGTAAAAAAAAGAAGCTTCCCCCTACCACTTTTATTTGAAAATATATTTAAAACCTGCAACTTCTCGGGAAAAGTATGGAGACTGCTTTATTTTTGTTGCAGGCATTGTAAAACTAAAAAACCAAGACTAGTATTAGCTTGAACTTTACCTTGGAATATGTCCACGAAGAAGAAAGCAAGCCAGACTAATCTCGACTTTCTCTCCTCCAGCTTTTTGTATCAAAGACCCTCTGACATAAGCAAGTGAAAGCTTTTCAATTACTTATTGTAGTGTGGGGCCATCTCGAAATTCTGCATACTCAGAATGGAGACTTTTGCCCCCACTTCTGTCTCCTCTTTCTCCATGTTTTTCAGTCACTGTCTTACTTCATTTGGATTCCTTATCATTCAAACCACATTATTTGGGAGGATGAGCTACAGGTTGAATCGGATTGTCAGTTCTGATTTGGGAGGAAGGTTTATGAGACTCAACAGTGCTGTAGCTCATTGTTCAGTATTCCAAGAAATATCCCTGCTCTGATTCTCAAGGTTTTCAAAATCTTACAAAGAATGTTGGACAGTTAATGTGTTTCAGCCATATTATTTCAGAACAAGTCTCTTTAGAGATTAGTGGATGCCCCCCACCCCTCCCCAAAGCTGACTTTGGCTATAATAAGGTTTATTTAAGTAAAATAAAGTCAGCTAACTGAAGATTAGCCTCCACATGCCTTTGCTATAATGCAAAGTCTACAGTCACCCCAAAGTCAAAATTTGGCAAACTTTGCAATGTGGGGTGCCACACCGCTGACTTTTATTATTTTGGAAAGGGAATAAGTATGAGCCAGGTGCACAAAGAGAACTCTCTCTTTCTCTCTCTCTGCTCAAGAATTTTCTCCCAGGCAATCTACAGATGGAGTTAATATGGCCATCTTAAAATGAAAATATCCCATGGATAGGTTAAATATATTGCCTTTGATTAGGTAGCAAGCGGGTTGTTAGGGGTTAGAGCTGAGGTTGGCACACTTTTTCTGTAACGATCCAGATAGTAAATATTTCAGTCGTTGTGGGCCAGATGGTCTCTGCTACAACTACTTAATTCTGCTTGTTGTAGTGTGAAAGCAGTCATAACACATAGCTGAATGGTCATGGCTGTGTTCCAATAAAACTTTATTTACAAAAACAAAGCAGTCTGAATTTGGCCCACGTTCCATAGTTTGCTGACCCCTAGATTATAACGCTTAATTAGAGTAGAGCATAGGTTTCTTGGCAGAATTATTTCAACACAGCTAGGAATATCATGAAATTACTGGACAATTAAGAGACTGCCTTGAGGTAGGGTGGCTACTTTATAATTTTGCCATTGACATTAGCGTCTTCATTCTACTCAGAGTCACCTCATCTGCTCCTTTTAGGTTGGAGGCTAAAACAGTAGAAACTGTGGATATTTCTTTTTCATTGATCTTGTTCTCATAATTCCCTTAGAAATAACAAGACCTGACATTTTTATACATTAGAATTTCTAGATGTCTTGCCGATAGCACATTTCATAAAGCACCTGGTGACCTTAAAAAAGATTTTTATAGGAGCAATTTAAAGTTGAATAAATAGAATTAATTTCAATGCATCTCACTCCAGTGTATAATTTTGCACTTGGCCAAACATCACGTTCCATTGTTTTGTTCTGTTCGAAGCCTTTTTGAACTCATGTAAATAGTTTTGCACATGTACTAAGACATGTATTTGTTTATTATTTTATATCCTAATAACCATGTATAACTATTCTGTTTTTCCATTGAGGCCTGGGGGGGGGATATCCTTCAATGAGCACTTCCACATCTGTTTTCTCATTTAATATAATTTAATTATTTTTGCAGATGAATCATAGGGAAGATAAAGTTACTTGCCCAAGGTCACCCAGCTAGTTAAGAGTACAGCCAAGCTTCCAAAACAGGTCTGTTTGAGTCCAGAAGCTATGCGTTTTCCACTACATCACTATTGCCTACAGGAAGTTACTTGTAGCTCTTGGCGGGCTTTATCTTTTTTTTTTTTTTTTTTTTAATCCAAGCTGTTTTCAAGTAAATCATAGGAGAACTGAGTAACATAGTATTTAATTCTTCTCATATATTTTGGAAGTACATATTTTCAAAAGGAGATATGGTGGATGCTTTTGTTTAAACAACCATGGTTCTATGACTAGAATATTTCCAAATAAGGGTGACTTCCAAAAATTATTTGCTTTCTTGGCAGTCTTCATACATTCTTTGTGAATGCAACTAGATTTCCCATCTTCCTTGTTTAGGAGAGAATCATATGTTAATAACATTTTTTGAAAGGTGTGGCTTGGTGATATTCTTTTCAGATTTGAATAACTAAACTTCCTGGCATCATAAGTTCAAATCATGGAGAAGCCAGCTCATTATAAGTTCGACATTCCGAAATTGATTTTTGTTTGTGCATAGCTTTGTGTAGCCCTGAATGTGCATATGAGTTAGGGGTAAAAGTTACTGCCAAAATCTTAAGATACAGATATTTAAGCCTTTTCATCAGATATGGGATGAATTCCTTTCTGTTGGAATGTTTTTTTTTTTCCTCTTGGGCAGAGCAAAAAACACCACAATGAATCATTGCATGATTAAAAAAACAAAGGTGGGGCTGGGAGAATTGACCCATAAAATGGTTACAGCATATATGACTCTCAGACCTCAATCAAAATATTGTTGTGCAAAAATATAATTACTTTCCTTCACATCTATACTTCAGACATTGAGCATCAAGGGCTCAATGATGGGGGCTTTTGGGGAAAAAAACCCCACTAACCTCAGTCCTCGTTAGGGTCTTCTCAAGGTTGTCAACCTCTTATGTAGGTGCCAAGGTGTTGGGGGGTAATCAGGGTGATAGCAGTGATGAGAGGACGGGTATATAGTTATCAATCAGAGGTCGATATAGGTTACTGCTAAGATGTCCACTCTCCTGGCCCATGTGTTTCCTTTGAGTCAGAGGTCTTTGGTTACCTTCCTACTGCCCTTGGGGCTCAGGAAACTTTGCCAGCTTTGCATGTAGACCTGCATGCAGAGAACAGCTCACAGTCATTGCTTTCTAGGGTCTGGATGCTTCCCTGCTAGAAGTGCTATGAAATGAAGTAAAAGGTCCTTGGTTGCCTTCAAGAATCTCTTATGGTTTGACTTCATTCCTCTCCCCCGGGTTGGAAGAATCCATTTCTAGTGTGAAGAAAAGCCTTCTCCCTTTCTCTGTTTTAAAGGACCTCTATCCCTGTGGAATTTCTTCCTCTATGAGCTTAGATTTTTTGAATCCCCGAACTTGCAAGCTACTTCTGTATTTTGCTGAGGTGCCCTCCCTCTTTCCCTTCAGGCAACGAGAACGGAGCCAGCTACCTGCTTGGATGGAGGGAAGAGGAAGGGGAGAAAAAACTGAGAACAAGTTGAAGCCTCAAAATATTATCCATTCACCTTATTCATTACAACCAATAAATTGCTTTTCTATGAAGTTTTCCCAGTACTTGACACACTTGGCTTTGGAGTACAGAAAGAACTGTGGTATGGTGTCTTTCATAAAAGCCAAGTCCTTAAAAGCCTCCCAGTGTTCTCATGTGGGGCCACGGTGCTGAACAAAGGGATGCTCTTGTGAGAGTTTTGACTTCTCTTCAAAAAAAAAAAAAAAAAAAGATTTTATTTATTTATTTGAGAGAGAGAGAACACAAACGGAGAGGGAGGCGCAGAGGGAGAGGGGAAGCAGACTGCCCACTGAGCAGGGAGCCTGACACAGGGCTTGATCCCAGGACTCTGGGATCATGACCCAAGCTAAAGGCAGACGCTTCACTGACTGAATCACCCAGGCACTCCTTGACTTCTCTTTCTCAGCATAGAACAGCCTCCTGGAAGCTGTCTTTGCTTGCCAATCTCAGCAGCTAGGCTGTCCTCCCTCTGGGCTCTCCTCTCTCTGGGCTCTCCTCAAGCTCCCCCTTCCTATTGCTCCCTCCTGGCAATTCCGCAGCTCTAGGGAGCAACCAGCTCTCCCCTCGAGGTCTGCCGTGTACTAAGGACCATGTCAACATGAGCTATGGAATCAATCATTTTCAGATGGATTTGGGGTTTTCTAATTGATACTGATTACAGAACAGTTGATTGGGCCACAACAAAGTACATAATTTTCAGACATAAGACCACCAAAATGGCCAGACATGCTGTACTGGAAGAAATATAGCTCAGAAACTGAGACTCAGGGAAGTTAAAGGGCTGGTCTAGGTTCAAACAGCAAGTTCATGAACGCGATTAAAAGCCACCCCTGGGGCGCCTGGGTGGCTCAGTCATTAAGCATCTGCCTTCGGCTCAGGTCATGTTCCCAGGGTCCTGGGATCGAGCCCCGCATCGGGCTCCCTGCTCCGCGGGAAGCCTGCTTCTCCCTCTCCCGCTCCCCCTGCTTGTGTTCCCTCTCTGGCTGTCTCTCTCTGTCAAATAAATAAATAAAATCTTAAAAAAAAAAAAAAAGCCACCCCTGAGAACCCTGTTAAGGGCAGGGTTGTGATAACATTCAAATACATTGCAAAAGACTCTCCAGCTGTTTGATGAGTCTAATAAAACAGGAGCACTGACTGATAAAACAACATCATATAATAATGGTGAGCATGGGTTCTAAACCCTGGCCGCCGAGTTCCTAAACTAGTGTCACCACTTAGAAACTGTGAAACTGGGCCTTGTCACTTTTCCTCTCTGTGCCTCAGGGTCCTCATCTGTAAGATGCGAATAATAATAGCACCTGCTTCATGGCTTGTTATGAAGTTTGAATGAATTAATATATGTAAAAGCACGGAGGATAGCACTTGCCTCATTGTGGGCATTTATATTGTTTATTATGAAATTACCATTACTTCGGAATAATATCCCAGTGATGCATTCAGAGAAGATAAATGTGCATGTGAAGACTGAAGGACATCAGAACAAAGTCTGTAATCACCGCGGAACTGGGGTAATCACTTACTCACTTGTTAAACATCCAGGGAAATCATGGGTTCATTAGATGCTGTAATAATTTTAATAGCAGTGTGTCTGAGAGCTGTAACGTGACTTGGAGACTTTTTTTTTTTAAGATTTTATTTATTTATTCAACAGAGAGAGAGAGACAGCGAGAGAGGGAACACAAGCAGGGGGAGTGGGAGAGGGAGAAGCAGGCTTCCCGCCGAGCAGGGAGCCCGATGCGGGGCTCGATCCCAGGACCCTGGGATCATGACCTGAGTCGAAGGCAGACGCTCAACTGACTGAGCTACCCAGGCGCCCCTCTTAGTACTAACATTAAAACACCGTATTTGCTGCTAAAATCCTACAAGAAAATAAAGAGAATAGAGAAACCATGGCATATCATTTTAGTATTTCAATATGAAAGAAGCAAACATTAAGGAGCACATGTTTATTTGGTGCTAATGACATCATGATTTGCAGTCTTTTTTTTTTTTAAGATTTTATTTATTTATTTGACAGAGAGACAGACAGAAGAGCACAAGCAGAGGGAGTGGCAGAGGGAGAGGGAGAAGCAGGCTCTGCATCAAGCAGGGAGCCTGATGCGGGACTCGATCCCAGGACCCTGGGATCATGACCTGAGCTGAAGGCAGACGCTTAACGACTGAGCCACCCAGGCGCCCCGACTTTGTTTTTAATAATATATGATTATAATATGTTTGAAAATGCTCATCTTTTATAATGTGTTAAGAGAGTAAAATGATGGAGGGGACATAAATGCTGTAACTAGCAATTGAAAACTAAAAGTGAAAGCAACAATAAAATACCATGATTCCTCTATTGTCAATAACAAAAACATATTTAAGTGTTGTTGAATATGTTTTGAAATGCTATTCTAGGGGTGCCTGGGTGATGCAGTTGGTTGGGTGACTCAGTTGGGCGACTCGGTTTCAGCTCAGGTCATGATCTCATGGATCATGAGATCGAGCCCTGTGATGGGCTCCATGCTCAGCAGAGTCTGTTGGAGTTACTCTCTCCCTCTCCCTCTGCTCCTTCCCTCCCTCGCGCATGCGCTCTCTCTATCTCAAAAATAAATAAAATCTTTTAAAAAATAAAATAAATAAATAAATCTTAAAAAAAAAAAAAAGCAATGCTATTCTAATACATTGCTGCAGTTTGGAGAGTTAACTTGAAAAAAATATTCCAGGAAACAATATTTCTTAAAATGATGGAAATTGTCTCTTTGACATCATAATCCCTATTCTAGAAATCTATCTTAAGAAAACAAACGTGTAACCGAAATTAATATTTATCTATATAAATTCCATTTTAAGTTTAAATTAGGAATTAGAAGTAACCTAAAAGCTCAACAATTGAATGGTAATAAATAATGATATACCCATATTAAGACATATCATGCAGGATTAGAAGTCATGCTTTTAATAAATGTTTAATGGCATGGAGGGGACAATGTAATGTCAAGTGACTGAAGTAGGATGAAGAGACCTGCATATACAGAATCTCAGAAATTGTGTTTAGTTGTATCTAGTAGAATGCTGACTATAGTAGGTTATTCAAATAGGATTTTGTTTTTTCTCATATAACAAAAAAATGTGGAGATAGGATGTCCAAAGCTTGTGCCTTGTCTCCACAATGTCATCAATGTCCCAGGCTCCTTCTTGTCTTTACATTTACTATCCTTGGCCTGTGGCTTTTGTCCTCAGGCTTGTCACCTCAAGGTCACAAGGTGGCTGCTCCATATCCAGCCTCACATGCTTGCTCCAGGCCAGAAAAAAAAAAAAAAAAGAAAGAAAGAAATAGCAGGGGGAACCTGGTGCTGCCTATAGGAAGCAAGTCAAATGTTGCTAGAAACCTTCAGTAAACTTTCCTTTACATCTCATTCATCTAGAACTCTGTCACACTATCACCCCTAACTTCAAAGAACACTGGGAAACATTGGTTTTTAGCTAGGAACATTGCTATACTGGACAGAATTGGATTTCTTCAGTAAGGAAGATGGAGAGAATGCATATTAGACTACTAACAGGATTTCTTATATCTGGTGCTACTATAGTTAAAAAAAAAAAAAAAGTGTAACACAAACAGCTATCCCTTTATTCTCTTGCCCAGATAAACGACTGAAGCACTATATACCAAAATGTTAACAATGTTTATATTTTAGTGGTAGGATTCCAAGCGTTCTTAATCTTATTTATAATTTTCTGTACAGTTTCTGACTTGCAATGGCTTGACTTATGGTTTTTCTACTTTACGATGGAGCAAAAGCATTATGCATTCCGTAGAAACCATATTTGGAGTTTTGAATTTTAATCTTTTCCCAGGCTAGCAATATGTGGTAGAATCCCCTCTTGTGATGTGATCTCAAGAGTATACAACTCATATCCTTACACCCATTCTGTACCCATACAACCATTCTGCTTTTCACTTTTGGTACAGTATTCAATGATTTACATGAAATAGTCAACACTATTATAAAACAGGCTTTATGTTAAATGATTTTGCCCAACTGTAGGCTAATGGAAGTATTTTGAGCACGTATAAGGTAGGTGTGGCTAAGCTATAATGTTTGGTAGGTTAGGTGCATTAAATGCATTTTCAATTTATGATATTTTCAACTTACGATGGATTTGTTGGGACATAACCCCATTGTAAGTTGATGAAGACCTGTGTTCTGCAAGTTTTCTATAGTGAACATATCCTACTCTCGTAATCAGATTTTAAAAAAAAGCAATTTTTAAACAAAAATTTACAGATATTTCGTTTCTGCTGTGGTTATAATAGCAAACATTGAACAAACAACCTATATGTTAATCAATTGAAGACTAGTTAAAGAATTATGGTATGTTCATACCATGTGACATCATGAAAGCTTAAAAAATTAAATACATCTAAGTATACTGATGTAGAAAGTGCTCATGATGTGAGATTTTAAAAAGTAAATTTCAGAACACTACAATCCCGTTTATTTTTTTTAAATACAGAGAAATCTGGACAAGGCAGAGGTATCCTTATAAACATTAAAGAGGCTCTCCAAGGCTATTTCCCAGCTATTACGTTTCCTTGGGGAAGCAGTATTGAGGGAAGAAAATATTCTTTATTGTTTTCTAAATGAATACTTCTTGTATTTGAACTCCTTTTTACAACAAGAACGTAATGTTTTATTATTCAGTCTAAATATATGAATAATAAACAAAATATTTAAATTAGTCCACGAAAGGGTTGTGGCCTTTAAGGCTCCAACCTTCTGGTTTGGGGACAGGAACTTTTGTTCCTTTTGGGTAGAGTGAAGTATGAGATGTTGCCTTCCACAACTTCAGAACTGTGTTGTTGAATGATTGAGTTGATAGGACACATGGCTATCAGTGAGGAAAGGGGTCCGAGAGCCCCGCAGAGCTGGAAGGGTGGTAGCAGACCAAAAGATGGATTGCAGTCTGGAGGGCAACTCCAAGCTTTAATCACTGTTAAGGCAAGTCTTCAGGGTGGAACAGTCAGATCCTTTTACTTGGTGGTCTTGGATTGCACAGGAATATTTGCTTTAGTTCTCGATTGCCCAAAACGCTCCTATTGTGGTTCTGCAAGCCATTTACAGTCTTCTTTCCTGGGAGATGGTGGCAGATGACATCTTGGAGCACAATACACATGGTCCCTGTTCTCTTTCTGCAATCAGAGAGCCCATGATTACCTCTTTGGAATTACTGCAGCCTTAATGTACATGGCATGGGAAAGGCTTATGGCAAGGGGCAAATAGGACTGTGGTTCCAAAATGAATTTTTTTCCATTTGATTCGTTTAAATATGCCGAAAACACTGAAGAATGCGAGACAACATTTTATGTATAAAAGCTCCTGTTGGGGGTGGTTGTGGAAAAAAATGTTTCAACTCAAAACACTGAACTTTTAGCATTTCTGCCAAACCAGATCCCCCCTCCCCCCCCCCCCCCCCCCCCCCGCTGCCACCACCCTTGTAAGGCAACAAAGTAAAAACAAGCAGCTTCTACTCCCAAGATTGCACATTCTCCTTTTGGCAGCTCTGTGTGCACTTTTGATTTATATGGTTTGTTTAATTAAAAGTATGAAGAATTTTCTTTCTCAAATTCTTTCCCACATTCTTTGATTCCCAATGTCTAGGCTTCAAGGATTTTTCCATCTGCTTCTTCTAATCACCCAGAGAAATCTAAAAGAGCCCTGCCTAACTTCTCTCTTTTTCCTGTTGTGGAGCCCACAACATGAGAGTGAGAAAGTCTATTACTTGTTTCAGTTTCTGTTTTCTTCTCTGGCCACCTTAGAATCAGATACAAAAATTAACGAATATATATGTGAAGTGCTTGCGAAGTCATTAAAGATATGGGCAAGAAGTGTAAAGAGTTCTAATGTTACATTTGTACCTATTGTTTTGGATCTCATCTTGAGGGTTCTGGGGCTCTAGTTAATACTGAAATGGCTTGCCTTTAAAGATTGATTGATTG